TTTCATTTTTTTTTGAAAAGGTGGTGTCTATTTACTTGTGACCACGCTGTGTACATAATTATGATTTGAGGAGGAATAATAGGTAGTAAACAAAACTTACGTCAACTCTTGGGCTACTTTAATTTGACTAAATAATAGGATGTGATTGTCACTCTTATAGTGCATCTTTGACTCTAATATGCGCAATGTGTTTTTCCGCAACGGGTCGCGAATCATTAGATTCATCCTAGAACGTTAAATGTTGGGCCACGACCGGACCAAAATTAACGAAATACTCTTTACAAACCCCACATATAAAAATTAAGGACTTTGACAGTATGTGGTCAACACTTTGTGTTTCTTTCTATATTATTTTAGCCATTTATTGCCCATTGCTTAATAACACTTTTAAAGGATTTAGGCCTAACTTATGGATCAGCTCACGGCCAGAATTTTCACCCTTAAAGAGGGCACTGCTCGGGTAACTTAACGACCTGCTCTGTGGGATCACTGAACAAATATTCAAAACGACAGAGACTATTATTTGGCTTGAAAGAAAATATATTAAGAGCAATAAAAAGTATCAAGATTAGATCATGTAAATAAGAGAATACAAGGTGCCGAAAACGATTGTTTGACCTAATTCTCGGCATACTAACACAGACTGACATTAGTTGTTATCTTGTCATTACTTGTGATAAAACAAAAAACCATTATCAATATATATTTGTCTGTTAACGACGAAAATAATAACCTCAATAAGAAACAAAAAAATCTAATAAAACCTTTAGTGAATCTTATCACCTCTGCTTCAGTAACGAAAATACAATGTAATGTAGTTTCAATGCAATGGTTTGTGTCTCACTGCCAATTCGTTCTATACTTTGGGACCATGGATCATATTCCACTATTCGCCCAAGCACAAGTAGCCCAATAGTTGGTAGTGGGTCTTGTTGCCTATCTGCCTTATTTCTAGTTTATTTATCTTACATGCTAAAGGAGAAAAAACACAAGCTCTCCTTCCTCCAACTGTGTAGTGCTATCTCAACACGTTAGTCACTGGTTAATCCTGGTAGTGTTGTTCTGCCCCTAATTCGAAACCACCGGCCGCAGGGAGATAATCGGCCGGTAACAACCACTGTTACTATTTATTTTTTTATTGTTAATTATCGTGTAGCATTATTTTAATTTTAAGCACCAGGAATCTACTGTAAATAAGTGAATTGTAATATTATTACTTGTATTACTACTACTGTATGATCGAGGAGTTTGGCAGTGATGTTGGCACATGTCTCTTATCTTAAGTAATCTCCCCAAGGCTCTTCTGGTAATAATGTTCACTTTGATTTGGTTAATAAGGAACATCTGTACTTTTTACTCCCATTCGCTCTTACTGCACTTCCATAACTCTACCATCTTCCTTCCAGTCTTCTAGTTAACCAGTGTGACCTCACTTCCATTTTTTCCTGTTCTCTTAGTCTACAAGCTGTTTCATTTGGAAGTCTTACCAGGTAGTCTTAGAGCTCTACTTTATCAGAAAGGTTTTCCACTTTCTCGTTGAATGATATGCTGCTATGGCCTGAAATATAGATCTTTATCAGATGAGACTTCAAGTCTGTCAAAGGTTTTATCCATATTCTATGAATAAAACCTGCCTCCACTTTTCTGGTGAAGTTTAGAGAGTCATTCATGAGTATGACCCTGTCACTGTTACTGGTCGACGAGACAAGCGCATTTTTTATGTTTCGCATTCTTCTCTGAACGAATTGAATTACCCAGTTTTCACTACTGACCATTCAAACAGTACAGGGTTCAGTATGTTATACTAAAACGAGTTTGATATGCAAACAAACAAATCACGTGATAAGCACAGCCGATATAAAGTCGCGGTGGAACGGTATGTATCAGAACTATATTTTGACACTGTTTAGTATTTCGTGGGCAGTGTGATGCCACCGAAACTTGATTGCCTTTGGAAAGGGTATTATGACAGCCCTTTCTGACGCAACATATTTATGCATTCAAATGATAAATATATGTTCAGAAGAAGAATTTCAAAGAGGGATATATCCCATGTACTTAATAGCTTTGAAAAAGAAGGAATATAGATTAACTTGGGGCACTAGAACCATCTAAAAAGAAACTTACAGCAAGTCTTACTCCAGCCATGGTGAGCAAAGTGCATAGGCATAAGAATCCATTGGCACAAAGATCATTAGCAAAAGCCGTCCTCGTGCCCCAGACAACAGTATGCAAATTATTCAAAAGAAATTTCTATCTGGGAAAGTGATACAGGTTATGTGTATAAAAGCTGCTTCCAGGACATATATTTTCAACCATCGTATACCTCAAGCAGTTGGAGAATTAAATGTGTATTTATGCTAATCAATGTTAAAGCATACAAGTGAATTTCAGGATGCAGCACTTGTGGATTTATGCGTGATCAAACTGTTAAAATGGGCACTAGAAAATTGTCATCCTTTTCCCTCTAGATGGTTTGTTGAAAGCTTGTATGGGAGGGGTTGCTTTAAGCATGATAAACTTACCACAGAACATTTTTCAATAAAAACTATGCTTCAAAGCTATTTTCAAGATACATGGTCGTCACACAGAATTTCGCGCAAAGCTACACGAGGGTTACCTGCGTTAGCAGTCCCTAATTTAGCAGTGATAGACTAGAGGGAAGGCAGCTAGTTAACACCATCCACCGCCAACTCTTCGGCTACTCTTTTACCAATGAATAGTGTGACTAACCGTCACATCATAATGCTTCCACGGCTGAACGTGCAAGTATGTCCGTGTGACGGGGATTCGAACCCGTGGCCCGCAGATTGCGAGTCAAGCGCTCCAAGCATCAGGCTATGCCGGATCAATATATTTTGATAAAACTTAAAATTCTATGTAGTGTGCTAAATTTAGAAGAAACAACAAAAAAACTTTGAGCATAACACCAGAAAGAGAAGTTCGTATGCATATAAAAAAATTCTGAAATAAATATGCTTTGGTGAATCCAAGAATTTTGATATACATTTTGTGTATATCTACTGAATTTCAACATTAAAAAATTTCGGGTGCGATTGCCAAATTGTATTATGTTTTAAATACATTTTTATTTACATTATTATATAGTTTTGACAAAACTCACCTTCAATGATAAAATAGCGCAACTTTCCACTGTCTATTTCATCACTATCAGAAGCTTTAAGTTGGGTGACCACGTGATCCCTGCGCGTGTTCTATGGGAGAAAAACTTATGTGTTTTTAAACAGACTTTATTCAATATATTTTCTTATAATTTCTATAGCCGAAACTGAATATTTAAGAAGATCTAATAGCCAAATATCAATTTTCGGTTATTTTTAAGCTACTCAAGAAGCTAGTTATTTGTACAATTCTACATATATTTGGATTGTTTAGTGTCAGATATTCAATAATCTTTAATAAAATGGGTAAACAATCCTGAAGTATAACAACTAGGTTATTACATATATTAGAGCTGTCCTTGCATAATGTCAACGAGCAAGATGTCTGAAAATTATATTTTCAATACACTAAGGTAAAATATGTAGGAAAAGATATGACTCAGATAATACATTTAAATACTTCAAATTTTTCTCATCTTGTTTACTCCATTTCTTCTTCAGAATAATCGGATATTTTGTACTTAAGTCGCATCTAAAAGTGCGACACGAACAAATATTATTATGAATCATTTGTGCTTTTTGAGTCATTAGAAAAACCAGCAGAACCGTATGATATGTTTTAGATATTTTCTTCACTTAGTTTCGCTTTCAAGAGCACCCGTGATTTATTGAGAATGAAGTAGTTTTATTAGCCGCCGCATAGCGGCTCATAGAGTGGCTCAAGTACAAACTTTTAGCTCATAGCTCCGTCATCTCTTGACCAATTTGAGATCCAATTACAGTTTTGGACTCAGGAGGTCAAACTCTTTCGACTGATATCTTTCACCATGCCCAAGGTCTCATGAAATACAACTTCGATGACGAGGAACCCACTTTGAGACTAATGATGGTTGGAGACGGCTTGAAGAAAAACTTTAATATAAGTTTAAGATAACAGCAAATGTACAACGTTTCGACAAGGTGATAATGATGACAAAACCTTGTCGAAACGTTGTACATTTGCTTTTATGTTAAACTTATATTAAAGTTTTTCTTCAAGCCGTCTCCAACCATTATTAATCTCTTGGAATAGTTTACTCTAATCAATCCTACCTAAAACAATTTCAATTTTTAGCATTGGGGCTGCGAAAAGTGATTTGAAGTGGTAAGGTGACTGAAATTCATCAGCGCATCACGAGCTTAATGGCCAAGCACAAGAAGAATGGAAGTCTCCAAATTACACGCAGAGGTATTCAAGAACTTTTTAGAACCACCTTGGTAGATATTGTGCAGAAAGCCAAGTACAATATTATGCCTGTAGCCGCTGCTTTCATAGTGTTTCTGTCTGCTCATCCTACTGCTGACTGTCGTGATGCTTCGACTTTCCCTACTAAATTGCAATGAAATCGTTCGTATCTCAGTTGGAAGCTAAACATAGAGAGGTGATAGCAGAAGCATAAAATGTTGGCAATGGCTTAATTAATGATGCCGAGAATGTGGCTTTATTGAGATATACTGAATTTACTCCCAACGGGTAGACCTTAATACTAGCTAGTTTGGAGACTTGAGGATGCTGTATTTCACTTGAATATTTATCAATTAACAAACGAAAACTTGTCTCGGAGTTGTCTCGAAAAGATGCGTCCAAAACCACCCTCTTTTGGAGTTTCTGGATGGAATTTGCTTTTAATATTCATACAATTGTAATGTAAAGACACCCCTTGTCTCCTGAGGGACGTGTTAAAACTTATATACTATTAACATATTATTATTAGCTTGGCATTTATGCCATAGTAAACAAAAAGTAGTTTAATTATATTTTGAATCTGAATAACTAAAACCCTCGTGACATTTGCAGTAAAAGGATGCCTGTGATTCACTCTTTTTGCAAATTATAGATAGCATTTGATCCTACATTTTGGTCAAAATGTTTGCACTCTGTTCTATATTGCTGTTATTTTATACATGCGTGGAGAAGTTTTTGAGAAAATGCCCGAGTAGTAACAGAGAAGGTAGTGTATGATCGGATAAACATGTACGAGTTGTTATTCTGGCCTGTATTAGTTGTTGTGAGCATTTGTTTGTTAAAATACACCTGTCTTGTATAAGTTTTTCGTAACAGATCAACGCTTTGTTCAGATAATTTCTCTGTACTTGGTGTAGAGTCATCTCTCGACACGTGCCAGAAGTTATAGGGCGCCAAATAGTTCGACTGCCGAGAAACTGTATGAAGCAAACGGACATTGCCAGAACAGAAGGGTACCCCATTGTATTTTTTCCAGAATACTGAAACGTCATCAGATTACAGGAAACGTTTTTCCAGGAAAGTCTACTGGTAGACGCTGAAAAACTACTGCTCGAGATGACCGTGTTTTGATCAGGTTAACACGTCAAGGTCGAAATAAGTTTTGCAACACCTTACGACAGGAATGACATGAACACATTCATTCCAGGGTATCCAGAAGAACAGTGAATAGGAGATTGAACAAACAATGTTATTTTGCAAGAAAGACTATCTGCAAACCGATATTAACCAGAATTCACCGCCGTCACCGTGTTACTTGAGCAAAACAGCGTGCTAACTTACAGTTAGGACACTAGCAATATATCATCACTTCAGATGAGCCCTGTTTCTGGTTTGTTAAAACTGATGGTAGGATTCGTGTTCGTCGTTTGCCTGGAGAGCAGATGATAGAAGACTGTCTTACCTATAGAGAACACACAGGAGGTAGTAAGTACAGTAAATGCTTTGGCAGCTATTCATCATGATATTCAAAACCTCAGGGAAACGTCAATGGCACCTCCTACAGGCAGCACATGGAGACGATATTTCTGGCATATGCTAGAGCAAGGTTTGACAATAACTTTGTGTTCCAGGATAATAATGCCACTCCCTACAGAGCACGTATTGTACAGGAGTATCTCGACCAGGAGAAAATTACAAGATTGTCATGGCCAGCAAAGTCTCCAGATTGTAATCCTATTGAGAACTGTTGGACAGAACTGGACCTGAAAATTGCTAACCACGACCTTAGAGCAGCTACTGTAACTGAGTTTCAGCGACTTCTAGTGACAAGTTGAGATGAAATCACGGTGGATTACATCAATAATCTCATCGACAGTATGCCACGTCGCCTTGAGGAGTTTATTAGAGTACGAGGAGGTTTAACAAAGTATTGGATTTTTAATATGGACTGATATGAGGTTACAGACGCTATTTATGATGTTATATTTTGCCATTATACATATTCTTGTAAGGTTTTGTTGTGACAGATGAAATATTGAATTGGACATCTTTTTACAGGTGTCTGATAAAATTGTTTGCTTTTCTAATATATCGTTCATGATGTCCATAAAACCTGTCTCATTATACAAATTACCTCTGTAGATGTTTAATATAACGTGCATTTTTCAGTTTGAAAGTGCTGAGTGTATTTGTATTCCATCTCAATAATAATTATTATTTGATACAAAATATGCAAACACTTTGGCCAAAACTGTATATATATATTGCGTGGAAAGTGTCTCCCCTATCATATTCTATTTGTATTTTTAAAAATTAAATTAAAGCCAGTTTTTCGTATGAACATACTTTGTTCATAAAATATATTTTGCCACTAACTAAGCCCTATTGATATAATGGAATATGTTAGCTATATTTTAGTAATTCATAGAAAGTCAAAGCTATACGGAGTATACTGAGCCCTGACTCTTATTCATCACATAAATAAGTTTTCACTGTGCTACTACTGTTGTACAGGTTATTTTCCTTTCAATAGCTCCTCAGGAAATTATCATCAAATATTCACATATTTTTTATTTAACACTTTCTAATGGTGAATATATTTGCTGGACATCGAAACTGAGATTAAATTATAAATTATTTCACTTCTTGTTTTCATAATAGATATTTGGAAGAGTTGATTTTGCATTACAATAAATATATATACAATAAATAAATACATTACAATAAATATATATACAATAATTAAATACATTACAATAAATATATATACAATAAATAAATACATTACAATAAATATATATACAATAAATAAATACATTACAATAAATATATATATACAATAAATAAATACATTACAATAAATATATATATATATACCACAACGGGATATAAAAAACGGGAAACAATTTTAAACTTACTTCTTTTACTTCCACTATATACCCTTGTTTCTCAAATACAGGTTCGTTGTCATTTTCATCTTCCACGAGAATCTTAACCTTAACAGAACTAGCACATCTTTGATTACTGGCCGTGACCTGGTGAAGTAAAACCGTAAAAACACAATGAAGAGCTAGGAAACAAGTCTCCGTAATATCTGTGTTTTTATCAGATAAATCGCATCATAATACATATCAAAGATATAAAAATAGGCTATTTTTATAATTTTGTGAATTAATTCAAATAAATAACTACCTCACCTAATACGATGTTGTATAAAATTTTCATCTCATTTTAAATACCATTAAAAACGTCTTACCATTAAGGTATAAATTCCTTGTAAGATCGGTGGCATTGTGTCCCTGTCCAACGGTCTTTTGACTCTTATAAAAACACTAAGTGGATTTCGAGAATCAACATAGAAGTTTTCAAGAGAATTATCCTCCGTTATAGAATAAGAAACCTAGAAATAATAACTACTCATCAAATAAAGGCTGGAAATCATTACTATTCAATGTTCTGAAATAATAGTTTTATATAAATTGTAAAGAAAATTAATACTTTTATCTTGATGTTACATAAAAATTAGCAATATTACTTTCAAACTATAAACTTCTTTAGAAAATAAATGAAACGAAGCACCCAATTTAAATTATGAAACAATTCAACGGTAAATTTCCTAAAAAATGGAGATGAATAAATAAAAAAATGCATCATAGCATATATGCAACATGATTGCCTAGTGGGCGGTTTACAACCGTCTTTTGTCATTCCATATGCTATTTCGGTAAGGAAAATTGGATTGCGTTTATTTTTAAGCAACGGAGACTGACTGTAATGCATTGCTAGCAAAAATGTTTTGTTTTCGATGTAATGGGTGCATCCAGCACATTTAGAATGCTCTATCGTTAAGTAGCCACGGATATTTTTTCGCTGATTGCCACCGTTTCTTGTCATTTTACTGAGTGCCAGAAAAGACTGCTACTGAAAAGAGTGCTTTTTGACACTTGTCATTTCTAAAAGAAGTGTCCAAGAAGAGTTATACAATTCAGTTCACTTCGACATACTACAATAAAATCATGCATGTATATAATACCAAAATAACAAAAAATAAACACCAAATAACAACAAATATATACTCGAACACATTCTTTTCTTCAAGTTTTTTTTTCCGCTCACGCTCATATCTTTATTTCAATCAGTCGACGGAGGAAGTCCCATTCTTTCGTGAAACTCCCTCACAAAAAGAAACATTTTTGTTCTTAATTCGTTTTTATTTTCTCAGGATGACCGTTCAGCACATACTAAGACTAATGGATCGATTTTAATATCGCTGTCAAGTTTTAGGAATTGCAAAAAGTTAATAATTTTCCTGTAATGTACTTTTTAAAAGAAGCATTTTGATATATAATTTTTTTTCTACGAATAATCGCTCAGGAGATACAGAGTCTGACAGACAGACAGTCGACATTTGGCTATTATATAAATATAGTATAATAGAATATATAATATAGATAATATTAAAGGTTTATTAATTTTTTCAAAACTTTGTTATCACTATTTTAAAATGAGTAAATCGAACTAATCTATACGTACTTTTCGATGTTTTTCTGCGTCTTCAACTTGAATGTTCGGAAGCACTATTGAATCTGGAGGGGTGTTTTCTTTTACTGTGGCATAGTACTCTGAAAACGGGAAGCTTGGACATTTACTGTTCCTGTCGGACATTCGAACAATCATCTAAAAAGAAACATATTCATATAGAAATGTACATTATGTTAGTATAGCAATTAATTGGAACGAATCTCAATCTATCTAAACAGTGTTGTGGTTGTTTCATAATATATTATAGTATACTAGTTTCTATGCAATGTCAAGTTATAGTGTTCCATTTCTTGAATAACAGTATGTTACTTTCCTCAATGTCGAGGCATACACAGTGTTGCTGTTGTGTTTTGTTAAACATTTATCTTTGCACATGAAAAGCCTACGTGTAGAAAGGGAAAATGTTTGAAGACTATCGAAAGAGAATTAAAGACTTGATAATAAAATAATTTACTGTCAATCAACAAGGACCTATAAAGTCTAGCCTAATTAGGACTGATTAACCAACCTTAAGCTTATATAAGTCTGATTATAATTTAAAGTAACAGCCTCAAGTTAATTTTTGTAGTTCTATCGTTTCCTCAGGTATAAGCACCTTCATCCACAAATATTACAGAACTTAATTTCTAAATTAAAATGAAAACAGGAAACTGTTGTCATATCTGATAAAACCAACTTTGCCGAAACGTGGTAAAACTTTATAAATCAAAGCTTCTCGGAGTGTACTCAGATTTAAATAGTGGTTAATTAGAATCTACAGCTAAAGTTTTAAACGTTTTATGGTTTAAAAAATTACATAGAGTTTTATCCATTTTCGTTTGTAAGATAAGTTCTTTTCATTACTTGTCTCCTTTAAATAAATTAAAATATTACAGTCCGTATTTTTTACAATTTATTGTGCCCTATGTATTTATCTTCTCTACTTATGTTGCCATGTTTTTCTAACTCAATAACTAAGTCCTGGAATAATGTTATAGAAAACAATCCGTGTCTCATTCTTTACGCAAACGTAAGGTTTATAAGTTACACCAATCTGTTTGAACTTAATAAACATAAACGATGCATCACGTCTTTAAAGTGCAACTAAGGGAAAGTGGTCTAAAATAAAATATGTATGAGAAAAGTTTATAATTACAATTTCTATGTTGGAATTAGGAAAATATATCTTTAAGAAGTGAAATCGAACTGAGGATCTCTCTCCTTTTTTTCTATTTTTTTTACATTCACATATGGATAGCTTAAAATAAACTCAGCTCACCCCAGCTTCGGCTACACGACGTGGATCATTTTGATTAGTTGCAGTTACTAAGAAGTGATACAGGGCACTTTCCTGGACATCCAGCTTGCTTGTTGTTACAATAATTCCCTGTGCAGTTAGTAAAATATTATCTACATTAACAATAAAAATGTACTGTTTCTTAATGAAAATATTTAAAAATTTTAAACTTACACTTATCTAATATACTAAAAGAAAGATTCATTTACTTTCTGTGACGAAATCAGCCTTCCAATTTGTTTTAAATACACTAAGTAGAAATATTTATCATTAGTTGACTAGTTGGTTGTATAGCTAATAATACATTAAGATATGCAATTGTTTCTAAACTTATTTCACCATCTGTATTTCTAACTAAAATACATCTTTTCTATGGCTATAGGGACTTTTCAACGAATAACAATAAACATTTAGTTTATTAACATGATTGCCTTGAATAGAATATAGACATATTCAGGTAAATTTAACACTTTTAAAATCCGTTGTTTCGGTTTCTCTATAGGAGATTTATTCATTCTAGGCTAGAGAGTTATACCGCTTTTATGAATATAACATAACTACACTTTGTTAACTAGGTATTTCGAAACTCTGGCAGAGTAAATCTAATACCGTTTCATAATCAATGGAGAATTCTTTCACTTTTCCTCCGTTTGACTTTGTGATATTGTACCAAACGAGGTCTCCATTGGGTACAGCAGCCCGTACTCTCATGATGGTTTCTCCTGGTTCCAAAACATTGTCCACTTCTGTTGAATATTGGATTGAAGTAAATACAGGGGTGAGTTCAGTGATGCTGTCTTTGTAAACTTCAACTACAATTTGTGTGGAACTGAAAAATGTACGAAAAGTTAAATTAGAAATTGCAATAAACTATTTCACACAACCTTCACTGAACACCTAATTCTGTTAAAACTCGAACATTGTTTTTGCACCTGCAGAACCTAAAGGCATGTTGCTAAATAGAACACTTCGAATCACATACATCATTTACGAATACAAGTAATTAAAATAATCTTCTGGTGTACTTGTTTTGTGTCCCTGAATGTCAAAACAACATTTGCATTTTAAATGCAGTTATTTTTTTAGATATTACTTTTTTCTCATTTAAAAATCCTATTTCTCATATTACCATTTCTACAAAAAATTGATGGGTATTTCGAGAAAACTTATTATTGAGTTGAAGCACCTGAGATTGGTATAGAATTTTCACGTAAATTTAAAACCCGAATTTTAGCTTCTTATATATATTGTCGTTACGTTGGGAAATAATAAGCTGTACCATATACATTTTATGTCATCTTAAAGGTATGTTATCTTACCTACTAAGAGGCACAGTAGAGCTGTCGTACGCCACAATATTCAACGTTTCAATGATGGGGGAGAGAGACTGCTTTGGTATGATCTGACCAGTGTTGGACTCAATCGTGAAAAGCGGACTAGGAGGGGAAATTTCATAGTTTATTTTGTTATTTCCTGCTACAGAGCTGTCTTTGTCCACAGCTTCTACCTTGTAAATGACTTCAGACGGGGAGGTCGATAGTGGCACTCGTAGAAATCGAGGGAGTGAAAGGAAAACGGGAGCATTGTCATTCACATCGTTTACAGTAATCTGTAAAAAAGGCAGTTTGGTCTTTAAAAAGATCATGAACAACACTTAAATATACTACAAAAATGTAGTTAATTTTAGAACGCCTGAATCATTAAAAAACAGGTTTTGAAAACGCCGTATATAGGATGAATAATTTGATGGTTTATTTATGATGAAGGTTATCATTAACTTTATATGTACGTAAAAATAACACGAGGTGTTATACAAATATTTCAATTTCAAATAAGGAATAAACTATACTGCGCACAATTTTATAAATCCAAAGGTTTTGGTACAAATGTCAAGAAAATAAATGTAGTAAAACAAGAACGTACTAGTAATTATTTTAGAGTTACTGAATAGAAATGGACATTTGGAGATTTACTCTCACTCTGAAAAATTCAAATTTGCATCTTTAGAGAAAAAAACGCGCTTGTGAAGAAATAAGAAACAAAAATGACGCAGATTTTAAATCGTATTATTAAACCCTGCTTCTACAAGCTTTAATAAACGAGATTAAAGGAGGCAAAATAACCAAATCTCCTAACTATATTACAAAACTAGTAAAAATTGTTAATTTAAAAAGGGGGAATAGAGAACGTCAAAAAAAGCATAGAAACACTTCTGCATTTTCAGGTGTTTTTGGTCCGAATGTTCAATTAAAGTTTTGAGCAAATTTCTGTGCGATCCTTATTACGAACCACTATCGTGGTTCATGATAACTTAGATTTCAAATATTGCTGTCCTCCGGATGAAAGCGTTTACATCTTACGTTAAGTTAGTATCAGACACATGCTGCTTAGCTATTTAAGTTGTACGCATAGAAAAAATAAAAACAAAATTATTATCGTGATTATTATTTTTGAATTAATTGTAATCCTAAGAACAAGGTTTTTCTAATGTGTGAAATAAATTACTAAACCTACAAAACAAATCAAACTAAAATTGTATTTAAGGATTAAAATTTTTGTAAAAGTAGTTGCCAAATACGTATAATGAACGCAAGGTTTTACAATAACACATTTATACTACTTACGAAAGCTTAGCTCATTTTAATTTTTTTCAGCCCTAATATATAGGATGTATATACAGGATGTTCCAAAAAGTATTGTTTGTTACAGACAGGAACATCACGAGGAACGAATTTAAAAGAAGGTAATGTTGAGTAACAAAATTTGGTATTGGTCATGATTAAAAATATTCGTTGATTGTTAAAAAGTTCTTTTCACTTTTTAAATATTTCTAAATACATGCTTCCAGTTAAGCGAATCTTTCAACAAGTTTCAGTTATATCTGAACATATAAACACACTATAGTAATACTTATCTTATTTTGGAACATTCGTCCAACTTTTTAAAATTTAATTAAGTTCAGTAATAAGAAAATTACAATTCTTAAGAATCTTCAATACTATACACTACATTTGCATCTATAGATAATGTATTATTTGTTATATTCCAATTTATAGTTGGTTTACTAATACCAACTACAACATCGTGAGTTATTAACAAACTCGTACTCAATGTAATAAATACCCTAGAAACACTCCCAACACCGAATTCATAGTCATTATTTTGACTGAACCCTGACATACACATCAAACATGACACTAAATTCTAACTGGAGGTAAATATATGATTTAGGGTAATACATCATTGACGGACTATGTTAAATATCAAGAATTAATGCTAGATGTCAAGGTGACTGACATTTTTATAGCAAACTATGATGTTCATTCGTTTACTGAATAAGAGACTTACGTACTTCGTCGCCCTATAATTCGATTAACTCGATTTTTTTGGTACAAAACTTTCATAATAACGTAGTAGGAAGCAAAGAAAAAATGAACAAGTAAATGTAGATTATTATATAGATTTATTTACCGTTAGAAAATAAGTCTTTCTTTTTCATATTTATTATACACACGTAAGGCGAGATGTTTACTCTCGCAGTATCAAAATTTGATAGAGAGAGATGTTATATACAAAGCATTACTTACGAAATGAGATTACAATTACGTTTTCTGCACATGCAACTCTTTATTTAACTATATATATAATGTCGAATACTTTAAACCCATGGAAGACTCTTGGGCCAGGAGGTGTAGTAAAAGGTGAATAAAAATTGTAATTTCTTTCTCTAAATCGTATATAGTGGATACAGGTCATTAAACAAAACGTTATAATTTTCCCTATGATAAAAAGTTCTACCTGAACAATTGCCGTTGAAAATTGAGGTTCGTTGGCTTTGTCTCTGGCTTCCACAACTAGTTCTAAATACTTTATGTCTTCGTAATCTAAAGGGCTGACTAAAAGAATTGCCCCCGTTTGACGGTCAATCCTAAAGACTTGTCTTCGCGTGGCTCTCAGTATTCTATATACAACGTTTCCAGCTTTTCCTTTATCAGTATCTGTGGCATGTACGGTCAACAAAACTATGTTGTCCACGTTTTCATCAACGGCTACCATATAAGCAAATTGGTCAAATTCCGGCTGATGATTTTGTATGTTTGATATTCGAATGATTAGAGATGCTTTACCAATATTGGAGCCTATCCCGTGATCCTGAGCATATACTTCCATTTCAAAAGAAGTGTTTTTCTCTACGTAGTTCGGTAACGTTGATGCCAAGCGAACGAGGCCGCTTTGAGGGTCAATTTCAAAAAGACCGTGTGTGTTTTTAATCCAATAGGTCACTTCTCCGTTGTTATCTGCATCTGGATCTGACGCATGAATCTGAATAATAGATCTCCCTACCTTGGATTCTTGAGGGATGTTGAGAACATAGTGAGTTTTTTCAAATTTCGGAGCATTATCATTCTCATCTAACACTTCGACAGTAACAGGAGCTCTTGCCTCAAATTTTCCATCAAAGACGAACAAAGAAAACTCGTATGATGTTTTTTGTTCCCGATCCAACACTTCTTTAGTGCAAACTTCTCCTGATCTGGAATCTATAACGAATGGTATGTTTTTGTTGTCTAGAGCAAATTTCATTTCGTCAACAGAATCCCTGCTGTCTGCCTTTACCTATAGTAGAAACATTACTGAAACTTTTCTTTTAAGTGAAACATCAAGACACAAAAAAATACCTAAAAAATCTAAAATAATGAAATATTGTATGATACGTTATTTTTCAAAAACATTTAATCATTCTTACGTAATCAGCTAGTATCATTCACATCTCTTTCTTTAAAACAAAAGCCAACAGTTCTATTCATATTATCACTGCATTTATTTGACATAATTTGGAAATTAAAAATAAAAATTTGATTCCCATGATAAATGTAAATCCTAATAACTACATGTCCAACCTTATTGTTTTATAGCAAACTTCTTACATTTAAACATCATCAAGATGTCATCAGCTCCCATTTATTTATACCAAAATACATTTAAATAAATTAAAATAGCAGGTATCACATACTCAAAGTAGCAGGATTTTCAGAGTATTATTTATTAACTACAGTTGAACTTTAGAACATACGTATTAGAATGCTAAGTGTAAGAAATTAAACCATATATAACTATACCGTTAAAAAACAATATCCAGCAGGAAGGTTTTCTTGGAAAGATACTGAATAAGCAGGTTTTGAAAACACTGGCGGATGATCATTGGTATCCCGGATATCGATCACCACGGTAGCCAATCCGAAAAGAGGGCTAGCATGAGCTGAAAATTGAAATATGTGGTATTTCATTACACTATGTTAAGTACATTTATACACTATGTTAAGTACATTTATACACTATGTTAAGTACATTTATAAGGTGATGTTTATATACTTCATAAACAAGAATGCGTGAATTTAAATGTTCTTAAGTTATTCGTTTTAATGATATTTCAAACAGTTTACTTGTTTCGAATTTTAAGAAATCTGAAACAACCTGATTTTTTATTAGTAACAGCCTGCTACGAATAATACAGCAGACCTAGAATTACATAATCACATAGATTGACGTAATGTTACTGAGTAATAAGCACATCAATCAGAGCAGATTGAATACACACAAAGAAAAAAGAGTGTATCATTCTGTAGAATGATAAGTACATGTGACAGAGAAGAGCTGTTGGTATAATTCATTAATAACAGATTACAGTGAGAACATTCTAGAAAGTAATAAGTACTTTGATAAATCTGGACTACTCGAGGGCCATCTGCACAAGACCATTCCTAATTATCTAGTGGGAAGATAGCTTGTCAAACGTACCCACCGTCAACTTTTCGGCTATTCTTTATCTAACCAGATAGTAGGATTTGACCATCAATCTGATAGCCAACCCACTTCTCTAACCAGATAGTAGGATTTGACCATCAATCTGATAGCCAACCCACTTCTCTAACCAGATAGTAGGATTTGACCATCAATCTGATAGCCAACCCACTTCTCTAACCAGATAGTAGGATTTGACCATCAATCTGATAGCCAACCCACTTCTCTAATCAGATAGTAGGATTTTACCATCAATCTGATAGCCAACCCACTTCTCTAACCAGATAGTAGGATTTGACCATCAATCTGATAGCAAACCCACTTCTCTAACCAGATAGTAGGATTTGACCTTCAATCTGATAGCAAACCCACTTCTCTAACCAGATAGTAGGATTTGACCATCAATCTGATAGCAAACCCACTTCTCTAACCAGATAGTAGGATTTGACCATCAATCTGATAGCCAACCCACTTCTCTAACCAGATAGTAGGATTTGACCTTCAATCTGATAGCCAACCCACTTCTCTAACCAGATAGTAGGATTTGACCATCAATCTGATAGCCAACCCAAAATGTGGAGCGAATTTATATTGCAACAAGCCGCGAACCCCGATTCATCAGATTTACAGTTCGAGGACGCAAACCACTAGGGTCAACAACAACGAATTCGACTTACATTGAAAACGAAAGTAGTGCAAAATCCACTTAAATCTCCAGGAAAGATATTTTTCTTAAAATCAGGTCTTATGAAATACGAAAATAACTTACAGTCTTTCGCTTGCACCAACAATACGTAGTTTTTCTTTTTATCATAGTCCAATGTATGGGCTGAGGATCTGTTTACTCGAATATTTCCATTTATAGCATCAATATAGAAAACTCCTTCCTCGTTACCACTTGTAATACTGTATGTCACTGTGTTGTTCTGGAGGTCCCTGTCTGTGGCTGCAACCTTAATTAGGTTATACACAAAATATATGTTTGACAGAATCGTACACTACCAGAAGTACATTAACTTATCAAACAAGTCCTTATATAATGCGTATTGTTTATAGTCCTTAGAAAAATCAAGGTAAATTAGAAACAAAAATCAATCATAAATAATGTATATCAAATATCAAAGACATATACAAAATGTCAATCATAGTACAAAACTATACAGATGCCCTATGATAGATATAGAGACAATCTGACAGGCGGATATTTCGAGGACAATCGCAGTGTATTGTATTAAACATACAATTTTTCATTCCAACAAAATGTAAAACTCTATTTATAAACTTAAAAAGTCCAACTATAGTTTTGGTATAGTAGTTAATGATTAAAGAATATATTCTCGCTCAAAATATGCTTACTTTCTGAAGTATGTTAGGTTATCTACTTTAAAGGAAAATCTATCAAACATAATTGATATGACCTACAGGAAGGCTGCATAACTCATTTAAACGTTAAA